TCTTTGCTGTTCTTTTGTGAATGGGATCTCTGGCATATCCAGCCGCAAACGATGTAATGGGATTACATTTTGAACATCAAGGACAAAATGGAGGACAAGCTCGGGACATGGTTGGGTGGGGCAAGAACAGCGTCATCGCCCACCCCCAAGACATTGACGCAGTCTATGAAAAGACGCATAAGATGCCCGGCCCAACCCCCATATTCACTTCCCTCCACCTTTTTCACCCAACTACCCCTGCCCCGCCCCACTGAGACCAGCAGAGCACTTAACGTAAATAACGTACTGGCTATTTTTAGAGTGCCGTCTCTCAACTGTGACATTGGAAGTTGAAGAGCGTTAACGTCATAAATTGTCACGTTTTCAGACACGCGCTTTTTCGGAACTGGCCCTACAGCAGTCCGCAGATCGTTTCGGGTTGCGAAGTGGCGTAAGACGTAGAAAATGCGTTTGCTATCAGAAATGAGAACAAAAATGATCAACAAACACACTTTGTCAAGTTTTTTGAATTTAAACAAAATGGAAAACACTTAACTGCTTACAGTATTTTCGAATAATACACAACTATGAAAGTCTTAACAATAAAATTTATTATCTTTGATTAATCCTATGTTTAATCTGTAGGCCACAATTAATAAATAAATATAAATTTGTGTAGCTGGCTCCAACTCATTCAAATATATATGTATATACTGTATATACAGAATGGTAAAGTGACACTTTACATTTTAGTGGAATACTAGACAGTTATATTCATTGGAATATAAATACACACATCACACACATTTCTTTATCGCTAAATCCAACAAAACACAGCAGCTGGCTCATCCTGGAACCAGGTACAATGACTTCTTTTAACATACGTATGACGTTGCAAATCACAAAAAATAACACAGCACAGACCCCGGAGGTTGTTACATCTGGTAAATCATTTTTTCAGCAACATTCATTTTCAAGTACAACAAAGTGACGAACCAGGTTTGCATAATGTCCAATCACCCCCATCTAATCAATGTAGCTAGTTAAGGCGATTACAAGATTATATACTGTATATTTTCCATGTTCTTTGTTTTCCTTCTTAATATTGCACTATGAACATGAAAAAGACATTTGCCACATGTGCACTTATG